CACACACACACACACACACACACACAAAGAAGTAGGAGAGAAAAGAACGATAATTGTTTAGGTAGGAAAGAAGTGAGCAAACCCCACCAGAGCACCGGCCAACCACCCACTTTCTCTTGTCGTTGTCCAGCATTATCTGTGTTCGTCATTTCGGTCTTACTGCAGTTTATCTGCTTTAGATGAAATGCGCATGTCGGTTTGCCCCCCCCCCAACCCACTCTTATCCCCCCCCCTCTTTCCCTTCTAACATGAGCTGAGCCCACCGTCCGTGTTAGCTTTTGTCATTTTGTCTCGCTCGTCTCTTCAATCAATATTATAGTAATGTTTATAATCTGCCTCTAACCTCTCAACAGATCAAATGCATCACAAAAATCAATAGGCCCAACATGCGCGGAAGAGAGGGAAAAAAAGATTTAAAAAAAAAAAAAAGGAAAAGGGTGGGCGTAGACGAGAAGGTACGTAGGTCCCTAGCCCATAAGCCACATGCTTGAAACAGATAATGTGAGCAAACTGAAATGAAATTAACAATCATCTTTAACAAACGCACAAACTATACACACCATTATTAACTATTTACTTACGTACAAAAGAAACTCTCAAGAGCGACACCAATCAAGTATTGCAAACTTATAAAACACGCCAGGTGGAATTGAAATCTCCTTCACCAATTGGAAAACTATAAACTGTTAAACATTTAACTATATTACGAAGATTACAATCTGATTCAAGGTGTATAATAATTTGCTTACTGAAAACGGTATCATGCACAGTTGAATTACAGTTCACTGAATAGCAGAGAGTAAATCAAAAGTATTTTTATAGCCCCCCAGGTATTTATTAGGCCAAGATCTATTACAAAGCATTTTTACCAGAGCAACACACCGCAGGTTCAGAATCAGCGCGCACCCCAGTATGACAAGCGAAGCGACTGCCAACTGAGTACTCTGAGGGGTTGCTCTTGCCTCGCCGCGACCGTTCGATACTTGGTATCGTTGCTGTTTTAAAACGCGGATATCCGTGTTGCGTCTCTCTCTCTCTCTCTCTCT